AAACAGAGACCGCCAACCTTTTAGTTAGCATTATTCTTTGGCGGTGTGAGATCAGTTTCCAAAAGAGCATTCTCAGGTACAGCTGGTGCGATTCTCTTTTCTGATGGCTGGCCAAGCAGTGGCACGGGCCGTCAAGTGCAGTAGGTCACACGTGAGCAGCGCTGAGTAGGCTTTGCAGAGACGAGACTGTGTTTCTGCCTTGTGCAGTCTCACTTCCAATGTCCTCTTTTATCCCCAGCTGGTGAAAAAAAAAAAACCCAACCCACCAAACAGCAGAAACAAAAGTGCTGCTAGGCAGGAAAGTAAGTTGTAATAAAGATCAGCTTTAAGACACTTCACTTGCCTTAGAGCCCTTTCTGACCTTTCTTTCATTCTTTGTATGATAATAGAATATTCCTTTCTTTCCCTTTTCCCCTGTACTAAAGAAAGGGAAAGTTGCCCTTTTGCGTTGCCGAGGGTGGTTTCAGTTACACAGCAATCTTGGCTGGATTTGGGGGTTCATGCAGAATTTACCCATGTGAAGTGCTAACAGCTAGGAGGAACGCTTGCTCCCTCCAAGCAGTGTTCTGGGTTTGCTGCTCAGCCAGTGTGCAGCACAAGGTACTGTGTGAGCTGGGCATGCTGTGTGCTGAGAACTGGAAAAGCAGCACTCATTTTATCGTTATCCATTTCTTTATGATGGCAAGAGATGGCATTTTCCTGTTTTCAGTAGTGAGATCTTGATCATGGTAAGATAAATGCTGGCTTGCTAGGGTCCCATCCTTTGACCTTTGCACCCATTCAGTTTCCATTTATTTTAACAAGGGTGGAGGAGTCTGTCAACCTCCCTAACAGGTGGTTATCAGTTTGCAAAATCAGGCTGTTAATTTGAAACATCAAGAACTCTTTATAGAAGATTTATAAGGAATGAATCTTGGAAGAAAGAGTGATCAGAATTTCATCCAGCATCCTTGCACTAGCATAATTGTTTAATCTGGGTTCCATTAGTTAAAAAAATTTTTAAACTGTATTTTTACATTAAAAACTATATTGTGCTTGAAAACAAACAGAGGTTAACATGAGCTGAGGGCTTAAGATGTGTATCTAGTGTCGAAAGTCTTGCATTATCCTGGTGCTTGGAGTCTCTTTGGTGCTGTCCAGCATTACTTGGAACAATTATTGTTATTTATTGCTGTGCTTGGTTTTGATCAAAGCCTTCCAGTACTACATATTTCAGCAGCCTCTCTGGTGCTTTTAGGAACATAAAGGATCTTTTGAGAAGATAACTAAAATTATTTGATGATTGTGGCTGGAACAGGAACGAGCTCTAGATCAAAATGCAGCTTGATTCTTTCCTGCAGACTTTATAAGCTGGATTCTTGCATGGTGTAAACCAGCCTCCTTCTATTGCCCTCTTGCTCTTTTTGATGGTATATGAACTTAATGTGGTTTTACAGTTTCTGCTATCTTCTCAGTTGTCTGAGGCTCCCTGTGGAATTATTCCTTATCAAAATAGCTAAGAAGTATGTGAAGAAGCAGATAAAGTTGTTAGATAACCGTGACTAATGCCTTACTGAAGGCTGCTTGCACGTGCTGAAATTTGCATTAGAAGTGACTTAAAACATTTGAATTATCAGTTGCACATCTTTAAAAAATAATTTTATTAAAATAATTTCAAGTCTCAACATTCTTTAGTTAAAATGAAATTACCTCTGGAAAAAAAACCCAAGCAAATTGTGTAATAGCTTTTCTGGCTATATTTTTCCCCTTGCTCTCTTTTCAACTCCTGACTGATCACTTGGAACCTTGTGTTTGAGCTTTACTCATTGAAGTAGTTTGTGTAGTCGCAAATGACATGAACCTATAAGGAAACTTTGTTGTTACAAAATAAAGATTGGGGTTTTAAGCTAAATATCCCAAGTCAGTGCCTTGTAGCATAGACCCTTGGGTTTACTGCATCTTCTGAAATGAGCATAATTCATAAAACCAAACAACTTCAAGGAAAATGGTGTAACTCAGGGAAATCTCTTTACATGTGATACCATTCTCTTTTCTTTTTGCCATTGTGTTAGTGGAATCCCATTTCCTTTTCCTTCTCGTAGGCCTTCATCTTGTAATGTGTCAAAAAATATTAAACTCACTATTAAGAATGCATTAATTTTAGAGCTCTTTTTATTAAGCCTCTGTATAAGAAAAATGGACTTGAAGTGTGTTCTCTGTGGCCATAGGTTGGTGTGTACATCCAAATGATCTTTTTCTTACGCATTTTCTGACCTTTAGAATTTCCCATTAAGAACGCAAAAGAAAATCTTACTTGTGTAAAGGTGAAAGATTGTATTTGAGAAAATAGAAGGAAGGCTGTACTCAGCAGAAAACTGAGTACTAAGAATGAAATTTATCAAGGCAAAGGATTAGGGGAAAATAAAGTCTATAATTCTCCATACTAAAGTGTTATGAATGTGGATAATAACAAATAGGAGCTGGATTTGCTTGATTTTGAGAGCGTATTTGACCTACTTCTTGTTACTGAAACCTTGTGGAAAGATTTGCATGATTATAAAGTTAACTTCATCGAGTTCACCATATTTCTAAGTCATATTAGCCACTGCTAAGTCATTTATAGCTTGAAAGCAAACAATCGTAAATACTGATCCATTCATATTCTACCATAAAATACAAGATGGGTTATTCACTACTGTCTGACGTATGTTTCCCGCTGTGACAGGGAACAAAATGACTTCTTTTTAAACTGTCTATATATAAACGGCACAGGGACAATCTACAATGAGAGAATTCATTCTGAGGAGGTACACTGGATATTTCCTGTTGCTGACACAAAACTGTGGTGGTTCTAAAGAAATTGTCATCTATTGTTTTAATATTAGGAGTTTTAATAGTGGGAGTTTTGCATACAGTAAGTCTCTTAGACCTCGCTTTGTTCAAGGACGAAGAATCAATCTTGGAACTAAAATTTTTTAATTGATAGGTATAACTGACCATGACTTATTTGCATTCATTTGTGTGCTGAAGGAATAAGATAAAGCTGGTAATATTTGGTTTTGTACTACATGCTTCCAAAGCTGCATTTCTACAATGAGAAATGAGAAAGAAGGCAATGTAAGTTTGTAAGACAAAAGCAAAACAAGCCTGTCTAATGAGGAAAATGAAGGCAGTTACAAAAATGCTTAAAAGTGGGAAAAGAACTTGATAGAAGCTGTAGTGTAGAAAATTAAGATGGGAAGTGAAGGGACACAATGAGAAATACCAAGCCAAAAAAAGTTAAGATGATGAAAAGGAATTAAGTAACCAAGAGTAAGCGAGATGTTATCGGAGATTCTGATCATTCCATGATGAGGCTCACAGAATTGCTCGGGAAGAGGAGGGAGAAGCGTTCAGTAAATGTAGCTGTACTCTTTGGAGGGGATAGGACAGAAATTTTATATTTGCAGTCTGATAGCATTTAAGGATGACATTAAATAACAGTAATTGCATTTACATATTTTTGTACAGCTAGTCCAGCTACCCAGCACCAGGGAGACTGAAAAGAGCTAGCTAAAGGGTTCTCATATCATGCAGGTTAATTCTCCATAAATCTGGAAATACAGGACAAATTTCCAGAGGCTGGAAGAATATTATTATTGTTCCAGTATTATAAAAGGAGAAGAGATTATCTGTGTGATTATAGGTCTGTTAAACAGGCAAAAGATACAACAGGATGTAATACATAGTTAATGAAGAGTAAATGGTATTTAGTGTCACTTAGTACAAGTTTGTCAGAAATAGGTCTTTCAAACTAACTTGATTTCCTTTCTGAAAAGATCATGTTTAATTGATGAATAGTAACAGTATAGCACTATTGTATAGCTTACAGGACTTCTGTAAGCCATTTTATTTATTCTATCAAGGAATGGCTTTATTAATCAGCAGAATTATAGCATATGGACATAGCATCCCTAGATTGGAATGAAGATTGGTTAAATGATGGGTTTCAAGTTGCACCTGGTGTGGGGAGATGGGGCAGATGGGAAAGGCATCCGTTCTTACTTCTGCCCTATTTAACACTATTTATCAGTGGTTTAGTGGAAACATTATTGTTAACAAAGTCTGGAAGTGGCATGAAAATTGGAGGAATTTATAATGTCATGACCATAAGGCAGTGTGGATTACTTAGTGACCTTGGCTGAGGCACCTGGTAACTACTTCAGTACAGACAAACATCAGGTTCATAATCTGGTGGCTATGTTTACAGGATGCTGCGCTCTGTCCTGGTGCACCATAACAGAAAAACATTTTAGGGTCGCTTGTGAAGAATTAACTGGAGTGCGCACCCCGGATATACAGGAGACAGCAGGAGTTGGCAGTACCACTGTTTGGTTGTTGCCCTTGGAGAATGGAACAAAATAAAGCCTACTAGTATTTTATTAACATCTTAGTTTAATTCTGTCTGTTGGCCAAGTGGCCTGTCCTACCATAAACAATCAAAGCAGATGTGTTCCACATGCCCTCCATTCAGCTGTAGGCAAAGCCTACCCACATATCTGGTACAGCGTATGCCTGAATAACAGTGAAAACTGTCCTCAAAAAACTTCCTGCAATCTGTATTTTCTTCCCTTGAGACTCATTTGAGAACAACACTTGTGGAAATAAACATACCCTAACTCTTTTATCAGTATTATTTTAATTAATGCACTGAATATTTAAAACAAACTAATGAAAAGACCTCCCAAAGAGTATTACTAGAGATTAAACCAAGCAGCAAAGGGGACCTGCAGAATCTTAAGTGTATAATACTCTTGGTAAAATAGTCACAATGTATTTATAGAACTGCTTATTTTCAATGGATTTGAATGAGAAGAAACCTTGAGAAAAATCCTCTGCAGAACACTGCTAAGTAAAATTGTTGGGCTGGTGGGCAAGTTATGTGCAGAAGACTTGCCTAAATGTGCTGTTGTCTTGCTTATTATAAGTTTTGTTGTATATTTTTATTGTGATGCTGATTAAGTTTCCTGTCTTTGGCACAGATTACAGGACCGGCCCTTGCTTCACTTTGATAACCAACCAGATGTGCCAGGGACAGCTCAGTGGAATAGTCTGCACAAAAACCCTTTGCTGTGCAACAGTTGGGAGAGCATGGGGCCACCCCTGTGAAATGTGTCCTGCCCAGCCGCATCCCTGCCGCCGAGGCTTCATTCCAAACATTCGAACTGGGGCCTGTCAAGGTAAGTTAGCAGCAAAGCTTCCCCAAAAGCTGCTGAAATTGTTACTGGATTAATCTTAATTGAGTTACACTGCTGTGAATAACCTGTCCTAAGCCATTCTCAGCTATATGTGTGAAGAATGGAAAAACGTTGTCAGATGCATTACTTCATGATTCAGTGAATGCCTGATGTTCAAGGGAGTATGTTAGTAACTTAGGTCATGTGAGAGCAGCCAGCATCTTAATGAATTTCTCGCTGCCAGCAGCCCTTTCCCTTGGTTCTATAATGGTGTTTTTCTGAGTGTACCACTCAGTCATTCCCTGAAGGAATCTATTCTGTTTCAAAAAGCACTCAAAACATGCAAAAATCAATCCGTGGCAATACTGTTCCATTTATCCAGTGTGGGATTTTTTAGCTAAAATTTTTGAATTTGGATTCATCTTGAATGTCTTGTCTCTTGAGGTACACTGCTTCGACCTGGAGAGAAGTGCATGTCGTGCCATTTGAAATGCCCTATTATATATTTTAATACAATTTTAGAAATGCATTTGCATTTGTTTCAAATCGTAAAATCCACCCAGATGTTGCTTACTTCTTTCAGAGCATGCCTTGCCATAGAAAGTCCTTACACTGCTTTTGGCTTTTATTCTAATACTTCCAGCTGTATAAATTCTTTTATTGTCTGGATGTCTGGCAGGAAACAGGAGAAAGTTAACAGGGGCAGCTATGTATTAAACTGATGTGGATTATAAATTCCCAGGACCATATCTTTGGGGCTAGTTTATTTCAATCTGTCTAACATTTTCTAGTAAGTTACAGTATTTTTGAAAATAGGGGAGATAAAGATTATAAATCTACAAGTAATTTTATTTAATCATGAAATTCCTATGAAGGACTTCAAGGCATTCCATTCCATTAAAAAATGTAGATATCCTCTGTCACAGGCCAAGTCCTGGTTGGTGCCTGCAGACAGGCATGGTGAACTTTGAGTTGGGCATGTTTGTATATGCTGCATAATGTGCACATATTTTGACCTCAGCCATTCTGTTCCCCCCTCTCACTGTAAAGGTCAGAACTAAATTGTGCAGAAATCTGTGAATCAAGGTTCTGGACACTTCTGAAATCTTATGTGCATAAATATGGGGCCCACACCCCTGAACTCATGCCACACCTAGTTATGTGCCTCTTGTTTGTGTCATGGAAGAGCTGCAGTGACCTCTCCAATGGGTTTGTGCAGTTCGGAATAAGGCTACTTCTGCTTGCTGCACATTTCTTAGCATGCAGCTACATTTATGCTAATCTGTATGCGGTGCCAACACAGTTTTGGCCCTGTATGTTTGACTTGTACTTTCCAGTTTTCCCTTCTCTTGTAATGTGTTCATAATTTCAACAGATCTGCTATGGAACCACATATTAGCTTTATTTTTCATGCAATTGTACTAAATCCAGTCCTTTTGAAATCAGATAACATCCATTCAGACTCAAGACATTTCAGGGATTTCACATCCATATTCAATCTAAATAAAGGAAAGCAGGTTAAATAAAATCCAGGTTCTCTGGAGAGAAAAAGGAACTGTTATTATTGTGTGGAGAAGTCAGAAAAAATAAAACAGAGGGGAGGGCAAGTTTATTTTAAAAAGTAAATAGAATATCGCTGCCCACAGTTTGACTTTGTCTGTCTGGCCGAAAGTTAAATTAATATCACAGCTGAGGTTTTTAAAGATACAAAGGAGGAAAATGGAAGCCAAAAGGTGGGATTTTGAAACAGACATCGTGACTCAGGAGCGTGACTTCTATTTTTTTGATTTTTTTTTTTTTTTTAAAGTCAGTACAGTGCCATCAAGTCTGGCTGATTACTGTTATTAAAGCACAGCATATTGCTGTAGCTCAAGTCTCTGCAGCAATGTGGCTGTGTCGAGGGTGCTGAGGCTGTGCTAGTTCTCTGTGCCGCCCAGCACAGCGGTTCGCTCAAGCACAGCACTGCTCTGGCTCTGCTGCTGCACCCCCCGGCCCGGTTCAGTCAGCCCAGGGATCTTTACATAATGCTCTGCGATGTGGTACAGATATGCCCCTTGGCGTTCCTGAAACTTCCTACTTGTGGCTCTCAGGGAAATTGCCTCTTGGCCTTTTGTACAGACATACTACTTTGCTTCTCAGACTACAAGACACATCACAGCTGGCTCTCTGGGACTTAGAAAGGGAGATTTGAAGGCGTCACCTCCTTCAGCTTGTGTCCCTGCATTGAAACCAATCCTAGTGTGAAGCCCAAGAATTCAAGAAATCAGGTTTTACCTGCAGCAGCTGGTACTCCTTGGGGAGACGGGGGAAGCGCAGGCATTTGGGTTCGAGAGTGGCGAGTGCTGTGTTTGCTCCTGAAGGACAGGGAGCAGCAGACATAGGGCAGCCCCTGGGGACTGTGAGCCAGACCTCCACTGTCTCCTATTGCCGTGCCTCTCCTCCTCCTTTAGTCTCTTTTCTCTAGCTGTTACTAAGCCATAGCAACACTTTTGCAGCTAAGTGATGACACACGTGGTGTTGTGCTAAAATAGCTATGAGGCCAAAAACTGGGCCCTCTTGAAAATGTTTGTCTTGAGCTTCCTACCTAGCCTGTGATATCATCTTTGTTGTTTCATTTTCTTGAGTGAAAAAATTAAAAGCAAAGAGAGAGAAATATGGATGTCTAAGCAGGTCATTAATAACTCCTCGTCAGACATTAATTATGGCTATGAAACTTCTTGAGTCAAATCCTAACCACAGCTTAAAGTCATTGGTGCTGATCTTACTGGAGTGACGAGTTAATAATTTCCATCAACAATGACATGCACAGTGCACACTGCTCCTCCGCGGCTCCTGCATCTCTGTGCTGGTGGACTATGCACTGTATGGAGTTGCCAAGTTTCAAAGGGGCAAGTGATTTTGGGTGCCCAGCTTTAGATACTTTAAAGGAACCTGGGTTTTGGCAGGCTGTGTTCTCTGCACACCATTCCCCAGATGTTTTGGAAAAACAAAGCAATAGCAGTTAGATGTTTAATGTCTGTAACAATAATAACCATGTGATTTCTTGCAGAAAATATTTAGAGTACTATACTTAATCATACTTTGCATAGAGTAATTACAAAATTAGTGTCTGTCTTCACAAGCAAGTATCATAATATTATGATGGGTGAAGAATGGAGTTAGGCATATTTACTTTAATTTCTGTGTAGACAAATTGTTATGGCTGTTCTTGAGAAATTAATTAAAAGTGAGTGTTTCTTCCTTTTTTATATGATAGATGTGGATGAATGCCAAGCCATCCCTGGGATCTGTCAAGGGGGAAATTGCATTAATACTGTTGGATCTTTTGAGTGCAAATGCCCAGCTGGACACAAATTTAATGAAGTGACACAAAAATGCGACGGTAAGAACTTTTAGAACTTTCTTCTGAAAGTAAAGGAGGGAAAGTTGTCTTTGTGGGGCCAACTTTGTTTAGAAGTTTGTAACAAACTTTCCAGTCTCTTTTGCCTTGAATATGCAAATAGCATTCTTCACAACAAATACGAATAATGGTCCTTTCTCCTTCTAAGCCAGAGAATCTTAAATATTGGCCCTGCAGCTTTTTCCAGCCTTTTATGCACATAACATTTTACAGACTTAAAGGTACATCTGAAACAAATTAAACATTAAAACTAAAAATACTTTTTAACCAATATGTTGCTTTGGAAATGCTTGAGGCACATGTCTCTGTGTGGATCTTTTAACCAAAAAGTGTATATGACTGGAAGGTTCAACACATTCCCACCTACTCAGGTAAACTGTATTTAACATTAATGGGAGTTTGACACTGCTGAGTGAAGACTGCAGGACCATGTTCTAAACTCATCTTTACAGTTGCAGATGTTAAGGAAGGACAAACATTTTATCTTTCCTTATTGGTCATCCTATTTTGGAAGTACAGCAGGTGCTAGATATTAGTGTGGAAACTTGTAGTGCGTGATTATGGAATCTTGCTAGTTTTTAACTGTGATTTGATCGTATTTTTTCTAGCTATAATAAAATAATCTGGCATAGATGTCTCCTTTGCTTTAAGAGAAGTTTGGATACATAAGGAACATAGTACTAAAATGTGTCAATTGCAGAGTTTTGATTCATCATCTTTATAGTGAAGTCCAGATAATGTTTAAACTCTTACAACTGATTCTCCTTTCAGTCATTAGACAAAAATTAATTTGAGCAGACAAGTTTCATAAGTGGTTAGTGATTTTGGAGTGCTGTCACGAATGAGTGGTTTTGAAGCCGCTTAAAGAATCACTGGCAAAGGTATCAGCAAAAATGATTTTAATAGAAATTTATAAAAGCGTGACTTAACAGAATTCAATGGCAAGGTTCACTCTATTGTTTATTACATGGATTAAGTGTACACAGGGAAAATCATGTCAGAATTATTAATTATAAATCATGTTGGAATGATTTATACAGAGATTGAGGATAAAAGGGTAAGGGAGACCCTTCCATTGAGTCACGAGGTTCAGAGGAGACCCCCTTGCTCTCTAAACTCCTTCTCAGAGAGGAGTCTAGGTGCAGCTGGATCTACCCCTACTCTCAGACTTGGACAACAGTTTATGCCTAAGGGGTTATATGTGATTAGCAGCAATTTGACTTGATTACAGATTATGCTTATTATTGATTATCTAAATCAATACACACAAACACACACACACACACACAAAAAGATCTAGATCAATTCACGTGTAAGGGCCCAAAGCTAAACAAATTCATAAAGGCCTAAAGCTAGATAAATTTATAAAGGTATACCTGTTAAAAATTCCCCTCGAGTCTCGTGAAATACTCACGTTAAATGCCTTGGCATTTCTTAATGGGCAAAGGGTTGAGCCCCAGGGAGTGTCTCAGCCGAGGAGTGTTTCAGCCCAGGTCCCGGCGGTCCTCTGAATCTCACAAACTTGAGAATTTGCAAACTCTGAGAGGCGTCCCGCTCAGAGGGAGATTCTGGGAGCAGCCCGCTGCAGTCCAGGAGAGCTCAAAGGGTCTCAGTAAGGATCACTGTTTATAGGTTCGTCAGATGATTGGCTTTAGTCATCTGTGACAATTCCCAGGATTTCAACAACAATAGTGCCGTTCCACTCCAGTTACAACTCAGATAGGGGTATCAGGGAATGACGGATTATCCCCAACTTTGTCCCCCACCTGGGTAAGGTAACGAAAGTTCTGGTACGGCCAGTGCTGTTCCTCGCTTTGGCCATGCAAGAGTTCTGGGAACAGTCAAGGAATGCTTCGCTGCCCAACTCATTACAAGAGGGCCAAAGTTTATCAGGAGTTCCTGAAGTCAAAGTGACCCTGGGAAAAAGGGGGGGAAAGGAATACACCACCACAAGTGCCAACTTTCAATATCATAAAGGTGTGTGATGGTAAGAGTAAGGTGTGCATCCACCACCCTTTCTTGCATCAGGTGCCTTTAAGTAAGCACTCAAAATTTTTTAGTCACTTTGGAAGCATTATGACTTACTCTTTCAAAAGAAAAATCCCTATTTCAAGCAAAACTTTATAATTTAATTGCAGGTTAGGGAAAGCAATTTTAGAAGAGTTTGTACACAGCATGGTTTTCATATTGACTGCCAATGGTTTTGGCAGAAAGTAAACCACCTTTAGTGTAGAACAACATTGCAAGTTTTTCCTTCTGTAGATGAAGTACCAAGAACATGGTGAATAGGAAAACTGAACATGTGCCTTGCTAAGTATTAGTATTTGAAAAACTGAAACTGTAGGCTTGCATAGGCTGCATTGTATAAACATTTCTATGGTATTTTTTGATTGCTGAATCATGTAAAAAAAACCCCAAACAAACGAAAAAGCCCAAACAAAGAACAAAAAACCCCAAATAAACACCACCTTCAGAGCCTGCACTTGGTAATAGTTGAGGGACTCCACCCAAGAACCTGGGATAGTTTGGTTCATTCCCAAATCCTGCCACAACTTTTCTGCCCCATCGTGGTGAAATCCCTTTGGAGTGATCACCTGGCTGCAAAGATAGGATGAAGTTTTCTTTCTTCAATTCCATACCTATAAATTTTTGAACCTCAGCAGACAGAGACTTACTTTCAGTACATCTTCATATTGCATGTACCAAGCAATTTTAGTTAAAGCTGTGTAGGTATTAATACGATTCAAAGAATTAAAAGTAGCACCCTTATACCAGTGGCATGAAATAGGGTAGTGATTCCTATCCTATTAAGAGCACAGTCGTGTAACAACAGAATATCCATTCTGCTTTTTTAAATTATCCCTTTGAGTTTTAAGTTGAAATCTCCAATATAAGACAAGATATAGTAATTAACTGTAATTAATTCTAATACATAATAATTAACATCTGATCATGTGCTTGGTTCAACTTCCTATCCAGCAAGTAGGACTTCTAGCAGCTGTAATGTGTCCTTGATCACTGATTTAGTAGAACTGGGAGCTACCTGCTGAATTACCAGCACTGTTTTTTCAGTGGGTCCCCATTAAATTAAGATCGTGATAGAAATCATTGGGTACAGTGAGACAATGCAACAAGATGGGAAGTGAGGTGCATAGGCTGAAATTCTCTTTATTAGCATAGCTGGTGGAAAACTGTATTTTAAGTGTTACATTATTTTACTGCTTCATATAACCATTCCTCTTCCAGTTGCATTAATGCTGAGGTAAATACTTTTTTGTGGTGACTGGGGGGAGTAATTTTTCCTGGAGTGACATTTATGCCTGCGAGTACATCAAGTATACTTACCTTTATAAAACTCACATACTTAACAATGACAATGTTGCTTATATGAATGTCAACACTAATATAAATAGTGAAATACTGTTTGGGTTAGGCTCAACCCTGAAATAAAGAGTGATGATTTTGCTTTTAAAAAGGTCGGACTCTATATAAACAGTGGCAACACTGACTTTAAAATAAACGTTGGTGAATTTGAGTCAGAAAATGCTTGAATCTGGTCCATTTACGACTGCATTTTGCTCTGTTAATTAAGGGCTTTATTCAGACCAAAATTCAATTTCCACATTTTTTGTCACTGAGACTTTTGGGACTCCTGTGGAGTATAATCCTGGAGCAGAAGCCAGAAGTCTCTTAGCAGTGCTCCCAGGGCACTCGGACTTGAGGCTTTGGCAACACCCTCGAAGTAGCACTGAACAAAAAGTCACACCCCTCTCACACACCCAAGCGTGGAATGCGACCCACATCACGACAGCTAGCGAGATGCTGGGGAGGAATGTGTGCACAGGGGGCCCGAGGCCCCGTACCGCTGAGGATGGGTCAGTTTGCAAGGTCTGGCTATCTGTATGCCACCCCAGTCCCTCCACTCCTTTCCTGCAAAGGCAAGGGCCCACAAAGGTATTAGAGCGTCCACGGCTTTACCTAGGGGAAGAGGAATTGATAATTTTTACATTACTGAATTTTTGTATTACCGTCTTCACAGGAGAGGTACAATAGAGATCCTCTCTACTTGCTAAAACACTCATTAATGGTCCTGTGGGACTGTGGGTGTTCCCCCATCTGTTGGGGCCAAATTCCAATTTAGGCGTTACTTTTAAATTCCTCCAATCGTTTTTAATGACTATGATATTATTCACTCCTTGCCTTGGCGTGTTGGGTGGTGTTGCAGTATTTCATCTCAGAAATTTTTGTGGTTGGTGAAATCATTATTACAGCCATGTGTCTATCTGTTTGTAGATCTCTGGAGGAGAGGTTGGATAGAGTCCTGTGATGCCGTTATTTGTGGCTGGATTCTCCCTGTCGGGAGAGCAACTGGGTGATTGTAGATGGCTGTGACAGGCAGTTGTCACTAATCACGCTAGAGAATAATCTCCCTTTCTGCTCTGCTTTGCTGATTCTTCTTGTAGGTACCATGGAAAAAAGTGAGCTGTTTTTAAGCTCAGCTGGACTCCAGGTTCCTAGAAGATGAGGGCAGTGCTAAGTAGATACAGCTGCATTGTTAAGACAGTCACTGGAAACCAGGGGGAAAGTAACTACACATCACTGGCGGGCTACTGATGGTAATTAAGGAACAATTGGGGCTGGCATAGGTTATTATTCACATGACTGTAGATAACATAAACTCCTAGCTGTGGAAGAAGCCCTTACAAGTTCCCTCTGTTTACGTATGCAGCTATGATCAGGTATAAGAAAGTATCTGTTAGGGGTTTTTCTGCAGACTTTGAAAATTTTTCTGCATAGGATCTGTGATGATGATTTAGTCTATGGATTTAGATTCGTTAGTGAAGAAAATAATGATCTGGACTTTTATTTTTAAATCGCTGACAAAATCTAAGGGGAATTATGGACATTGCCTGACTTCTGCGAGTAGGTATTTCAGTTACTGTCTAGAAATCTATTGAAAGTTCAGAACACTGACTTAGTGGAGAAAGCCAGGAAAGGTAATTTTTGTTGCCTGCAATCATCCTGCTTTGTGCTATAATCCTGTCAGATTGTATTAGTTAAACAGTGCCTAGCTGCTCAATGCTTTTATATGGGGGGTTTCCAAGAAAAACCCAGGTGCAGTAAGAAGGATGGGCAATTCAGTAGGTGCTACACTTCCTTTGAGTCAGTATTGAACTATTGCCTCAGTATGGTGCCAGGAGACACTGTGCTGCTGGAGATACCATGAGACATAACGGTTAAGCTCCTAATCGCTGTGGTCATTACAGGTCCCATGACAGTTTTCTTAATTCTAGTGTGCAGAATTCAAACTGGAGGGGTTGTGGTTTACTTACAGTTAGTAAATCCCCTCTGCAGTTTAAGATTTTCATCCATCATTATTAAGCAGTAAAACAAACTCTCTGGCTTTTTGCAATTTACAGATACAATATTTTCTTAGGTTCTGTTTGACTTGTGTTTATAAGATTCCTAACAAAAGATCCTGATTCAAAACTGCTGATTATGCCCCTAGTACATAAGTTAGGAGGGGTCTCAGACCACACTGAATTTGATCGTTAATACTAATTATAAAATACCTATTCTTGTGCCAGAACTAATTTAGCTAACTTGCCCCTACTTCTCTTTTTGCCTTGAAGATATTGATGAATGCAGCACCATTCCTGGAATCTGTGATGGAGGAGAGTGTTCAAACACAGTTAGCAGTTACTTCTGCAAGTGTCCTCCAGGGTTTTATACAGCTCCTGATGGCTTAAAGTGCATAGGTGAGTAGAATCCTGTAAATAATAAGACAGTAGGTGTCATGAACATTCATGAATATCTCAAATGGGTAACAGTGTACCAGAAATGTATTTCAACTCGTGATCTTGAAATCCTTCTTTTATATAGAAGTACATCATGTGCCTCTATATGTATTCTGAAATGAGTTTTCCATTTGCAGGATGTGTTTCCTCTTTTCCCTCTTTGTTGTGACCTTCCCTTTTATTTTTCTTACTAGAGTTTTTCTGTTATGCCATATTTATTGCCTTAAGATAGGCAGAACTTGCTTAACACATCTTCTTGATATTCTTGCTCTCATGTTTGTCTTTGATTTAGTCCATGTTATATTCAGTAGTCATTTAGAAAAGCAAATATACTTGAGAAAGAAGGTAATCACCCCAAACAGCTTTTTTTTCCTCATTCCAAGTGTTATGACCTTAATGCAGATAATTTTCATTTAAAAAAGTAGTGTGATAAGCTGGGTGTGGGACATTTGTATCTGCTTTCATGATGTTGATGATTTGGCAGCGCTGTTCTTTCAGGCTTTCACTGTGGCAGAGCAGAACCTGTCTTCCAAAGGCCAGACCAGGAACCAAAGGACTGTGTGAATTGAATCACTGCCACTGCAGTGCCAAAGCCATGAAAGAGTAGTGTTAGCACTTATTGCTTCTGGAAAGCTTACAACCTGCTCTGAGGCAGGTCAAGTATTCAAATTTTTTTTTTTTTCTCATTTTTATGCAGTAATTTCTTTTTTCACTGCCAGTGCTGAATTTTGAGCAATTATTGTCATTTGAGTATCAAATGAAAGGTTTATTTCCTCAGTTTTGGCTTGTTTATTTAAAGGCTTACACACAGTGCCAGCACTGGGGTTCAAGAGAGCACCCTGTTTTTAGTACCTTTGAAAAAGGTACTAAAGAAAATAATTTGGGAAAAAATTGAAAAAAAAAAACTTCACAGACAAAAGTACCAAATGATAATAACTTCCCCAAAAGTTCTGGAAGTGGTCTGGGTTATGATTAATTTTGAATGCTGCCATTCTATTTCTGCAGGTTGTGAGAAATGAACGATATTTCTTCCATTATCAAGAACAGCATTTTGGTAGATTGGATCCATACTGTACACTGAAAATGCCAGTTGGAGTTGCTTTTATTGCTTCAGATTAATAGCTCCTAAATGACTATGGATCATGAAATCACTGATTGCTGCTTATACTTAATATTAACGAAGGAGATTCACCCTTCTGTTACAAAAAATCTCTAGAGGTGCACAACTTCCATTTGCTTTTTACTTTTCATAGTCATTGCTCAATCAGGACTGCCCAACATTCACACCCATGTTATATTCCTGCAGTTTTCCAGCCTTTTTTACCCACTGTATTTGTAGGCTGAAATAGTTCAGCTAAAGAATTGGGTATTTAAATGATGACAGGCTGTGTTAAGTAATATGCCAGCCATCATTAAAATTTTGGCTTTGTGTCCAAGGCAAAACGTGCTAAATAGGAAGCACTATTAATTATCTACAGATATCTTGGATTCATGTCTAATATGCAGACTGCATACTTGCCATGGTAACAAGGACAGAGCCCAAATCTGTATTCGAGCTGGGCAAAACATGTAATCTTGATTTAATTACAACATGCCTGTCTTAAGTGAAAAGTGTTAGCTGAACGTGTCTATTCTGTTAGAGATGAGGAAGTGCTTCTGAGAAATGTACCCCTTATGGGTCTCAAACTGAGCAGCACTGGAGCCAAACATCCAAAGGAGGAACCGGGAGTTCCATTATTACAAACCTTAAAAATTAGAATAGACAAAGCAAAGATAATATCTCCTAGAGCTGAAGAGCAGAAACAAGAGCAGGACATCTCAACCCAAGTACATGAAGAGTGCTATGAAGAAAGCTGCTAGCCCATACTTCCAGCTGGCATAAATTTGTTTCATCAGTGTTACTTTTCGATGGTTTTTTCTTTTTTTTTTTCCTTTTTTCTTTTTTTTAAAGAGGCACATTTTTCTTGAAAGCTATTTTCATGGTGATTTTTTGCCTTTTCAAAATACTATATTTTTTAAGTGAAAAATATTAAAATATGAAAAGCTGAAACAGTAAAAAAGTTGTTTCCTGCTGTTCTTGCCCTTATTTGTGTGTTTTACCATTTGGAACAGAAAATGAAAGAGGAAAGAAAGAATCACTTCTGATTAGGAATATGGAAATATTTGGCATTTTTCTCACAACCTTACTGTCTTTTTCTGAAAATGATGTGGCTTTTGGATAAGCTTTTACACCTGTGGGTAGACAAAGATGTTTGCTGTGTGTTTACCTTTTTATGGCACATTGTGTGGTTCCACAGATCCCATGTAGATGCTTTTTCCACTTCTGGCCGTTACTACTTTCTAAATGTTTCAAAACTTGGTACTGACCAAAACGGGAAAGGATGAATTACAGAGGATGATGATAGGGTCTGTTAGAGGACTGACTTCCTTATCATCCACCCCACCATCACACCAAGCATCTGAATATCTCTCCACTCCATATGAAGACCAAAATTACAACAGATGCAGTGGGGAACAGTTTGCATCAGAGCTTTATTTGACTTTTAAAATAGTAGATTAAGGAGTGTATGTGTTTGGCAGTTTAGTTGGGTACCAGGAGAAAATGGAGGACCAGTAATTGAACTGAGTAGATTTTATTTTTTCAGTCCATTTCAGATTTCCATTATGTGATTATACGAGCGAACTAACTGAAGTTTGGAGGCAAAGGCCAACTGACTCTTTTAGCTGTACTGCCAATAATATCCATGTTCAGGGTTCCAGCTAATAGAAGGCAGAACCATCACAGAGTCTCCCAACATATCACTATATATCAATTTCCTCAAAATAATAAGAAACTTCCCTGCTTTTTTTTATGTCCGCTAGAATAGCTAGTAAACTCTGGAAGGCACCGTTACTAGACAGATGAATCCACCATGCCGTGGATAAATGAGATAGATACTGTTTCTTTAGGGAATGGTGCCTGCTGTTGCAAGGTTGTATCTGCAACTTTTTGCTCTACATTTTGATAGCAAATGTTCATATATTTTAGAAACAAACTTGGTCTGGTTTATCGTGCGGCATCAAATTGCACCACAGCTTATATTGAGTTTGACGTGATGTGACATATTGTGAAACAATTGCTCAGAGCTTCAAATTGTATCACAAGTTTTTTGGGGTTTTTTTTGTTTTGGTTTTTTTTTTTTTTTAATTTTGCTCCCATCCACATTTTCTCTCCCTTCTCTAAGCTGGGGCATCTCTGTGCGATGTTGTTAGAGCTGAGTGTATCTGGGTACAGGACGTTCTTTGTACAGCACGTGCTTACCCTTCTCAGACAGGAAGCCGGCACATCTCCATAAACAATGTGATGGCACCAGTTAAAGCTATGTTGCTCTTTCTTGCCTGCAAGCCTATATCTGGTCAAATCACTACATACTTCAGCTGGGGAAGCTGTGACTAATGAAAAATGAATTAATGCTTTGAGAGCTGCAATGCTGTGTGTTTATTGCTGTACATCAGTGGCTTTCAAATCAAAGCTTAAGCAGAATTGATCTGGTACTAGAGACGACGCTGCAATTTTTCTTCGGGGGCACAGAAGCATATTTTGTTATATACTGAATACATGTTTCTATTCTATTTTTGGCTCCATTAGTTCATTGCTGTTCCATATTTCACTTCAGCTTTCTCACAGGAGGTGTTACACCTGAATCCAAAGCAGCCCAAATATTATCTAGATTTTTCTGGTTTTCTGCCTTTTGTTTTCTGGTTGTTGTAATGTTGCAAGTGCTGTGTCATCGATAATGTAATCAACCAAGAAAAACGGGACCTTTCCCCTTTGTGAAAGTCACATTCCTCACTGGACTGATGATTACATATCCACTTCTTTTTCTCGGTAGATGTGCGTCCTGGATACTGCTTCTCTTCTCTGGCCAATGGGCGCTGCGGCAATCAGCTCCCCCAGCCTTTGTCCAAAATGCAGTGTTGCTGTGACAGTGGCCGATGCTGGTCTTCTGGGGCAGCCACCGCTCCTGAGATGTGCCCAATCAGATCCACCGGTATGAATCCACCTGTATTCTTCTGAGCGTGGTTAAACACTGAATTAGGCAGTGATTTTCTTTTATCACTAATGTTTTCATTAAAGAACTACACAGAATGGTTGAGGCTGGAGGGCACCTCGGGAGATCGTTTAGTCCAACCCCCCTGCTCAAAGCAGAGCCTCCTATGGCAGGTTGCTCAGGACCCCCAGGAGGCTAGGGCAAGCAGACATAAACAAAGGATTTTATCTGTTGCTAATTAATGTTTTGTATCCGACCTTACCTGATTCAGATTTTGTTTTCAACATCCTCTTCAGGCTCAAGTTACTTCCTACAGAGCTTTCTAATAGATCCCTATTCCCTCTGCAGTTTCATTCTCATTGGAAAACTGGGGTTTCCTTCCTCCTATGTCTTAGCTTTCTGAGGTGCCATTTATTTCCTGAAGTTTGACACAGAGCATGATTTCTGTCTACTACCAAAATGTGCTGTACTTTATCGCCTCCCTGTGTATTGAGATCCCCAGATAATGTGAGATTTGAATTTAGAGAAGATGGTGAGCAGATTGTGAAAGTAAGTGTGAGGGAGTGGAGGAAAGATGTTTTTGAGATCGTTTAGGACTGGAGACTTAATGAAATGCTTTAGAAAAAAAGAATACAAGAAGCTTAAGGGTTGATGGGAGGAGCTCAAGGGAGGTGTAGAGTTTAGAGAGGAATGGGGATTGTAACACTGTAGAGTGTAACTCTGAAGAACTTGTCAGAGGTCATGTATGGGAGTGTTTATTATTCTTATTTTTAATCCTTTGAGTGAAACTGCGTAATACTGGAGCAGAGATCTATGATCAGAACTCTTGGAAGACTCTTCCTGGTTCTGTCACTATCTCATTAATAATATTTAAACATGTTAAATGTCCAAGACTGGCTAGAATAATGCTTACAAAATAGTGTAATCTATTGATGCTCATCTGAAATAGGAAGACAAGGAGAAAGCTTTCAATCTTAACACAGTCCCTGTTTTCTTTACATACTTTCTAATTATTCATATCTAACTGGTGAATAAACTGGGTGGAAAGTGAGGTAATTTGGCCAAGGCCGCAGACTGAGACGTGGTGGGGAAGGAGCTAGAACCCAGGACTTCCTTCACTCATAAATCCATGCAAGGTCTTCCAGATCATTGGTTACATGCCATTTTTTTTTTTCTTTTTCTTTTCTTTTTTTTTCCCCTGACTTGGGATATCAATTGAGACTATAAATTACTCTTTCCAAAAGTGCTTTGAAATTCTTTGAAAGGCCTAACATGTATGTAAGGTATTGCTGTCATTATTTAATCAAGTTCAGTTATTCCTTAATGTATGCTGAGAAAGCAAGATGAGGAATTTAGAGCTGTCAGTGGCCCAAAGTCTCTCTAACTCTGAAATGGAAATTTACTGCAATATAAAGTGGACCACTAGATGCATAATGTAACCAAGCAGTTGCATTTTCAATGTGGCCAGCAGACCCAGATGTTACTATAAAATAGGCTGTTTATTGCTGGAAATTATACATGGAGATTAAAGTTGCAATAAAAAAGGCTTGCACTGTATTTCTTTGCCTAACACACCAATAATTGTTTATGTGGAATGACAGGGTTTACCATTGACGCTATAAATACTTTAAAAGTGGTATCTCAGGCATGCAGCCGTGTGTGTGTTCAATTCTCACCTCAGCGGTCCCTTCATGTGTGCTAATTCCATTCAACCGATGGGCAGCCCCAAGGCCGTGACTTCTTTTTCCAGGGAAGGCCCAGGCTCCTGGTGGATTGGCTTTGGATAATTGGGTATTACCAATCTAGAGTAAAAAAGAAATACAGTATTGTTTCTTTCACAAAGACTGATCAGTGGGTTGTAGAGAATGTGTGATTAGAGAATTGACTATTAAAACCACCATAATTAGCAAACATTTGCATATTGGGATTTGTGTATGTGCATACACAGACATTGTTTCTTCTGAATGTCTCTGTTTTATCACAGGTAGACCATTGATTGAGAGTAGATTCAGCTTAATATGAATAGGCAAAATAGAAAGCTAGGAAAAAAACAAATAAACAAAATACAATAAATAATACAATAAAATCTTCTTGGGAATGATTTAAAGATTAAAATCACTCTAAGGAACAATAGAGGGAAGTGCAGTGACACATGAAACAAACTGATCACCTAACAGCATTAAAATAAATGCAAAGATCATGATCGGGAAAAGCAGAACTTTAGGCTACCATGTTTATTTAACAAATCCTCTGTGATTCGGGAAGAGCTTCTAATGTGTTTTACAGGTGGAAATAGAAGTGAGATGAAAGTGTTGAAGGCTGAAATATCCAGCTTAGTTCTCCCAACACTGAATTTATTTTTCAGTTCTCATTTTTTATATTGTTTCAGGAATTCATGCATCTCTGTAGCATTTTGTTTTCATTATATAATTCCTCTCACCTGTTGTACCATAAACTTTAAAATTTTGAAGTTCAAAGATACCGGCTGCACAAATAGTTACTTGTGTACACACAAATTGTGGACATGAATTAGGTCAGCTGGAAATGTGGTCTTTAATTGTGATACTCTGCGTGCATTCTTTGGATTGCAAGTTCCAAACCCACACTTCCCAAAGACAAAAGAGTCGGAGGCAGGAGGAAAAGTGGGACAGTAGGGCAGATGCCACTAATAGAGATAAACAATAGGAGAACGCATTACACTCAGCATAGACTGTGCTTACAGCAAAATAGATCGTTTTCCCATCGTCTGGGGAAGATTGAACTCGGTGTGGATCTGACTCGGTTTCTCTTTGTCTATGCTCCTTAGGCTGCACCTCGTTTGGTCTCTACTTTTATTGGCAAACTTCATTTTCACAGGGAAATAGTGTTAGTGTATTCATTCTCTAATTGGTTTTGCCTCATTGCTTATATTTATATTTCTTTGTTTTAGGAGGTTAACTTTTAAGAAATCCAGTTGAAACTGGGCTTTTTTCCCTGTTCAGTATTTTTCTAACTCTGTGGCAAGTTTTACATTAAATTAACTGGGGATCAAGTCCAAAAGTCCTCCTTTAGGTAAACTTCCCACTGAGTTCTTCAAAGATTTTGCCTGAAAGAAGACTAAGTAGATTAAGATCAGGTCCCTGCCTCACTGTTCAATTTCATATCCAGAATGTCAGTTATGTTATCTTTTTTCTAGCAGTGTTCTGACAAGTAGTATTGATATCCTCCTATGGATTAATGACTCAATTCACAGAACAAAGCTTGTTACTATGAAGAAGACACATAGGCTCAGATTTTTCAGATTATTTAAGGTTTGTTATTGCTAATCTGAAACACCGCAAAAAGGGGGAGAGTTGGATTAAAGGGAGAGGCTACAAGAGTCTAAAACAGCATTCATGTTTTCATGTTTCAGATGAGTATCGCAAATTGTGCACAGTAGCTGCTCTGCTGCCAGCAAGACCTGACCTTCCTCCAGGCCGTCCTGATGTGATCCCTCCACCACTCCTTCCTGGCGTTTACCCTCCTCAACAGCCAGAAATTGTCTATCCATCTCGGGCTCCACCACCTCATGGTAAGAAAGAAATAATAACTTTTCCCTGCACCATTTGCATTTAGCTTCTTTAAAAACATGTGTTTCTCAGGAGCAGTGTGATCCCTTCAGCTGTTGGTATCTTTTGCTGACTTTATGTGGACGTATAGTCTCCGGATATCCTTCTAATCATAGCCTGGTTACCATGTAACTTACAGCAAGTGTACCTCGTTGGTAGTGTTTTCCCTGTTAAGACAGGATTCAAAAATTACATCCTCACTGTCTGTGCTAAGGCCCGTGTATTGTAGTGGTTACATCACTGTTGTTTTAAGGCTATTGTGAGCTTTGCTGCATGTCAACATTGAGGAACGTGAATAGCTCTTTGACTAGATTGTGATAGTTACTTACATTAAAGAGCTTGGATGGGAGAAAGCAGCTTCTTTCAGGTTGTTTTCCTCACTCTTGCTTGGCCAGGTAGGAAATGTACCGATAAATAGTCTGCTGGACACTGAGGCTGACCCAATGTGAAGAAAGAACTTTTTCAGTGATACACATGGATAGGTTAGGTTTCTCTAGAGCAAGGAGGAAGCCAGAGCAGAATACCAATATATTCCTTATTCTGTCCCTTCCTCAGGGAATTTACTACATGCCCATATAGTCTGCAGTAGGCATGTGCCACCTGAAATCATTTGGCATAGCCACATACTCTTTTGCAAGTAAACACAAGCTCATTTTGTCCATGCTCTGTGCAGATGCAAGCAGGCTCTGCTTGCACTGGCACCAGCTGAAATTATTTAGTCTTGGTTCAGCACCAAGCTGAGCTAATAAGCCTAAGAGGCAAAGTATGTTAACTCAGGCCTGACACCGCACTGACGTAGCCGCACAGTTTCTTGGTCAGCTGGGAGCACAGACAGAGCCAGCTCATGTCTGCCTGCCAAAGACCATATAGGCATACCTTCCAGGGTTATCCCTGCCTTCCTCTCCCTCTGCTGTCTATGAAAAGGGAGATAACTGAACCAATCTGCCTGCTCTTTGCTACTGTAGGCTTTTAGTAGAGTCCCTACAGTGCCACGTACCCACTTGACCACTAGATATGAGCAGACTTGGTCATCTTTTGTCCTGCAAAAGAGGCAAACAGGATTGCCACAATGAAAAAGTCAGTGGTTGCTAGCTGTTTTCAGACAAATCTCTAGGAGTCAAAGTGCCATTTTCTCTCTCCCAATACTGATTTTACTATGTAATTCATATTGTGATGAAAGGTAAATGTTGACTTTTAATGGAAAATGCTGCACAAATTGAGGATTACCAAAAATTATTGTGATGACCTATTAAAATATTTTTCCAACTCTGTTATTTCAGTGATCTTGCCGGTGAACTTCACTGACTATTGCCAACTGTTCCGACATCTCTGTCTTAATGGGCGCTGTATTCCCACTCCTGGGAGCTACCGCTGCGAGTGCAACAAAGGATTCCAACTGGATGTTAGAGGGGAATGTATTGGTATGTGGTTTTCTGCTGCAAATCAGAGAGGGGAATTTCGTTTTAAAGAAAAAAAAATTGTTTTCCACACAATGTAGTAACTCTTGAGTTCTCAAATAAAACACCCCCCCTTCAAAAAAAAAAACAAACCAAAAAAAGTAAATAGACTTCCAAGAACTAATTGCTTTCGACTGCAAACTTACTTTTACAGCAGGTTTGCCTTTAAGACATTTAACAAAACTTGTAACTTGCCACAAAATTATATAGAAGGATTTCTTAATTCACTAACCTGTGACTATAATGTGTTTATTAGTGATTGAAAATGACCTCTTTAAAATGCTACCAGCTCTTTGAGTATGCAAATGACCTATCGCTAAAAAAACCAATCCCACAGTAGTCATGATCTCTGGCTTAGTAAGATTTACAAGTCCTCTTTCAGCTCATCAGGAGTATCTTGTTGGGCTCTTGAGCCCTTTAATTTTGGAACTCAGCCAGAGCTTGATGATAGGAGCAAGAATTAGCTGTCTCTTACATGCAAGATTTTGCTTGTGTCAAAATCTGTGTCTCCAGTGGGGCTGGGAATGTGGAGGTGTGGGATTAAGGCCTCTACCTCTCGCACATGCAATACCTTACCTTGTTAAGTACTCCTTTTTCCCAGCTCCTGCTTAGCTTAGAACATGGGATCCTTTTACTGGGAATTTAGTAGTGTCCCCTTTCCTTTCAGATTGAAGCACACTATTTCTCCAACTACAAAACAATAAAATACCCCTACAGACCCGAATACCTTTCAACCAATGTCTTAATAAAAATATATTGTCTGTGTTTTGCAGATGTTGATGAATGTGAGAAGAATCCATGCATCAGTGGAGACTGTGTGAACACCCAGGGATCCTACATATGCCAGTGTCGTATAGGATATCAGAGCACACCAACTAGAACAGAGTGCCGAGGTAAATTATGGTTTTACAGCCATATCTGTACTATTGTATACATACCAGGAGAGAAAATAGCTTTTAAGCAAAATTTAACAGATGTGTTAAATATGAGGGGTTTTGAAAAAAAAATAAATCGGATATGGCAGTAAAAATGATTAACCTGCCTGAGCTGTCTGTTCACAGACTGGGTTATGAAGAAAGACATTTTGTCTTGTACTGAAGGTATTTTGGCACCATTTGTGGCTTTGAAGTGGAAGACATATCTTTTCCCTCTCTTT